ATAAAACCATCCAGGTGCTGCAATATTCCAAGGTTTTTAAATCAACTTCAAACCCTGATAATTCTCCAATAAAACCATTCATGTGCTGCAATATTCCAGGATTTTATCACCAGCCTCAAACCCTGATAATTCTCCAATAAAACCACGAATTCCCCTCGATTTTCCAGGCTCTCCCTTGCTCCCCGTGCCCGGGGATGCTTTGGGGCGCAGCCGCGGTTTCGGGGCGCGGGCCGGGATTTTCCCCGGGGACGGATGGCGGATGATGATGGAGGATGACGATGATGATGATGGTGCTGGGTGAGGGCTCAGCGGGGCCGGGCTGCTCGGAGCAGCTCCTCCCTCTCTCTATTTATTCCTGCGCGGAGCTCCGCGGCTGAATCACCTCGGGGCGGGCGGGCAGCGCCGTTTGCAGCCGGTGAGTACCGGGGAAACCGGGATGGAGGGGATGCGGGAGGGATAAACCCCGGGGCGAGGGGGGTTTGAACGCCGGGAGTGCGGGGCTGCCTCTTTTCCCCATGAAAAATTGACATTTTGGCCGTTCCTTACAAGCCAGCGCCCTGCTCCTGCCCGCCTCTTGTTTACTCAGCGTTTACTCAACATCGGGAATTTCTCCTCCGAGGGTTTTGGCTTTTCTCCCACCCTCCCGCTGCTGCCCCTTTTCTTGAGAAAGACAGAGGGGTGAGGGGGAGATCTCTAAACCCAGGGGTGACATTTTCAGGGAAATTCCGATTTAATTAAAATTTCCAGAGCCCCAGATCGGGATTTTGAGCCCAGGAGGGTCCGGGCTCCCCCGTCCCCGAGCATCCTCCCATCCCCACCTCCCTCCTCTCCTCCTCCGCCTCCCCGGGGACCTTCCCAAGGTTATTTCCAGGCGTGTTTTGGCACCTGGCTGTTGGTTTTTCCCCTCCGAAGCGAATCCTCCTCCTTGCCAACGCCGAGCACGTAATTGCTGCTTGCAGCCTCCATTTTCCGCTGGGTTCCTCCGGCAAGGAGAAAAATCGGCTCCGCCACAAACCACCTGAATTAATTCGTCATTTCCAGCATCCGCCGAGAAGGCGAATCTGGGGCGGAAAGGTTAAAGATTAAAAAAAAAAAAAAATCCCAGTGAAATCACTCGATGTGTAATTTAATATTAATGTCATGGTCGGGCCATAAATAGAATTCCCGAGCACAGAGATCCCAGCTCCGGGTTTCTCTTCGCCGAGAGAAATCTGGGATTTTAAAGGGAGAAAATCCCGGATTCTCAGCAAGCAGCTCCTTCAGGGAACTCATTTATTTGGGGCGAAGCTCCTGGCTCGCTAATTAGCGCCGTGTCCTGTTTATCAGCGCTGTAAAGGCAATTAGAGGCGCAGGATCCCTGAATCAGCCTCAAAGCCCGCGATTTCCTCAATAAAACCATGGCAGAGCGTTGCCAGAACCCCTCTCCAGCCAGGATTTTAAATTTTTAATTCAACCGGGGCCTGGTTTTTAACCCCTCGGAGCTCAGAGCGGGGAGCGACGCCTCCAAAAATATATTTGAAAAATGCCCAGTTCTGTGGATTTTCCTCCTCCGCTGCCCGTTTTGCCGAGCGCCCGAGGAGCCGGTTGTTTTCCTGCCTTTTGGCTATTTTTAACGCCCCTGATCTCATCCCTGCCCCCAGCGGGGTGAGGGAGGCAGCGAGCCCCGGCCCGCTCCTTGAGGCCGCGATTTGCCATGGAGGAGCAAATCCCAGACCAGGAACTGCAGATCCCAGACCTGGAACTGCAAATCCCAGACCTGGAATTGCAAATCCCAAACCTGGAATTGCTGCCCATCACCAGGGACGAGCAAATCCCAGACCAGGAATTGCAAATCCCAGACCTGGAACTGCAAATCCCAGACCAGGAATTGCTGCACATCACCATGAACGAGCAAATCCCAGGGACTGACAAATCCCAAACCTGGAATTGCAAATCCCAAACCTGGAACTGCAAATCCCAAACCTGGGACTGACAAATCCCAGACCTGGAATTGCTGCCCATCACCAGGGACGAGCAAATCCCAGGGACTGACAAATCCCAGACCTGGAACTGCAAATCCCAAACCTGGAATTGCAAATCCCAGACCTGGAACTGCAAATCCCAAACCTGGGACTGACAAATCCCAGACCTGGAATTGCTGCCCATCACCAGGGACTGGCAAATCCCAAACCTGGAGCTCCAAATCCCAGACCTGGAATTGCAAATCCCAAACCTGGAATTGCAAATCCCAAACCTGGAATTGCAAATCCCAAATCTAGAATTGCTGCCCATCACCAGGGATGAGCTAATCCAAATCCCAAACATGGAATTGCTGCCCATCACCAGGGAGGAGAAATTCCAAATCCCAAACCTGAAATTCCAAATCCCAAACCTGGAATTCCCAGGGATCAGCAAATCCCAAACCTGGGATTGCAAATCCCAAACCTGGAATTGCAAATCCCAAACGTGGAATTGCAAATCCCAGACCTGGAACTGCTGCCCATCACCAGGGAAAAGCAAATCCCAATTCCAAACCTGAAATTCCAAATCCCAAAGCTGGAACTGCAAATCCTAAACCTGGAACTGCAAATCCCAAACCTGGAATTGCTGCTCATCACCAGGGATGAGCAAATCCCAAACCTGGGACTGACAAATCTCAAACCTGGAATTCCAAACCCCAAACCTGGAATTCGAACCCCAGGGAAAAGCAAATCCCAAAGCTGGAATTGCAAATCCCAAACCTGGAATTGCTGCTCATCACCAGGGATGAGCAAATCCCAAACCTGGAGCTCCAAATTCCAAACCTGGGACTGACAAATCCCAAACCTGGAATTGCAAATCCCAGACCTGGAACTGCTGCCCATCACCAGGGAAAAGCAAATCCCAATTCCAAACCTGAAATTCCAAATCCCAAACCCGGAATTGCAAATCCCAGACCTGGAGCTCCAAATCCCAAACCTGGAACTGCAAATCCCAGACCTGGAACTGCAAATCCCAGACCTGGAATTGCAAATCCCAGACCTGGAATTGCAAATCCCAGACCTGGAGCTCCAAATCCCAAACCTGGAACTGCAAATCCCAGACCTGGAATTGCAAATCCCAGTCCTGGAATTGCTGCCCATCACCAGGGACGAGCAAATCCCAAACCTGGAACTGCTGCTCATCACCAGGGAAAAGCAAATCTAAGTTCCAAACCTGAAATTCCAAATCCCAAAGCTGGAACTGCAAATCCTAAACCTGGAATTGCTGCACATCACCATGAATGAGCAAATCCAAGGGACTGACAAATCCCAAACCTGGAATTCCAAATCCCAAACCTGGAATTGCAAATCCCAAACCTGGAATTCTCAGGGGTGAGCAAATCCCAAACCCGGAATTGCAAATCCCAAACCTGGAATTGCTGCCCATCACCAGGAACGAGCAAATCCAAATCCCAAACCTGGGATTCCAAATCCCAAACCTGAAATTATAAATCCCAAACCTGGAATTCCTCCCCATCACCAGGAATGGGCTTTGCATCCCGCTGAGGTTTTATTTCGGGCCTTGCCAACGATCCCACCCAAACCACTGAGCTTGAAGGGCCTTTCATTCAAACATTTCAGGGCACAAACCCAGATTTTTGGCAGAAAAAGCATCACTAACAAACCCCAAAAAGATTAATTTGCTTTTGTGGCCCACACATCTGTGTCCAGGTGGCAACAGGAGAAT